CAGGGATTTGAACCCAGGCTGCTTTAATCATGAAGTCGGTGTTCATCCAACTAAACCACAGCAGCCTCAGAGGACTTTTTAGATATTGGCATCAAACCCAAGGGAACCATTTGCTCTCTTGTTCTGTTTCTCTTATCATAGTTAAAAGAAGTGAAGAAAGCTAACACTCAGAGTTTAGATCACAGCTTGGGCAGGTGTGGAAATATTCTCTTTACTCACCAATACCCCTCTGCACAGCTTGCTTCCAAATCTTAGCTCAGAGGAAGCATTATGAGGTAAAACCAAACCCTAAGCCAGAGCTGGAAGAAGCCTCAACAATCACCAAGCCAGGTCTGCATTTCTCTTTGTACCATTATGAGCAAATGGTAGTGATTACCCAGAGGACTGCGTTGAAAGATGTTCTGAGCCAGGGCCAGGCTCTGTGGAAAAGGATGGTGTGATTGCTTAGTGATGACTGTCATGGGGATGAGAATAAGAAGGGATGAGTCATATGTAAAGTGTTTTCTATTCCTGTCTAGGTTATTTGTTGCTATTCTACAGATGGTAAAGTTGAGGACAGTTTCGGTAATATTAGAAATTGCAGTTGAGAAGGAAGAAATTTAGTATAACAGCTAGAAGTAATTTTTGTCTTCACCCTCCTAAACACTTGAACATATTCAGACTCCTGGTTGCCAGCCCCTCTGCTCCTACCCCACCACATACTCAAGATGATAGTCATTGGTTGGCAGATTGCCTGTTTTCTTATTTAGGAGATATGTGTACATGTCTGTGCACATGCATGTGTATGTACACACACACACTCATCATCATCATCATCATCATCATCATCATCATCATCACCATCACCATCACCATCACCATCACCATCACCATCACCATCATCACCTGAAACACTGAAGACTGTTCCTATTGTCTTTCTCCTTAAGGAAAAGAAAAAGAGACATTCCAGACAAAGATGTCTCAGATGTAAAATTGGATGTGGAGGGAGGCCTGGCACCCTTGAGGAATGCAGAGAAGTCTTCGACCAGTTAGGAACAGTAGCACCTAGATCCCCTCATGTTGTCCAGAGGAATGCTACTGGCTTCTCTGATAGAACTTTGAATGTCCCCATGCCTAAGTTTCCTAGATCATTAGAGAAATTTCCATTGCCTCTGTGCATTGCTGAGAAATGGCACAAACAGGAAAGGTTGAATCTTCAGATGCAAATTAAGTAAAAACAATGGCCCAGTCCAGGAAGTACAGAGGAACAGCTGGTAAAAGCCTCAGGACCTCACAGGTTGCTATGAAGACAACATGAGCTCCTGTGCTGGATTAACTGGTCTATTGCAGGAGCTCAACACAAGTGAGTCACTGGTACTCATTGTGCCCTCCCCTTACTAAAGGCCTAAGTCTCAATCAGTAACAACACACACATTTGTCCCATTTGCCAGAGGTGTGACTTAGGTCAAGCCATTTTGATTCTCTGAGTCTCAATTTCTTTATCTTTAAAATTAGCATAAATGCTTCTTTTGCAGTACTGTCATGAGAATTAAAGGGAATGTTTTAGTCAGTTTATTTTGCTTCTGTGACCAAAGATTCAACCAAAAAAATTGTAGAGGAGAAAAGTTTATTTGGGGACTCACAGTTTCTTAATCCATAGACAGCTGGTTCCATTCCTTGGGCTTCCAGGTGAGGCTGAACATCATGATGAAAGAGTATGGCAGAGGGAAGTGTCTCAAATAATGACCAGGAAGGAGAGAGAGAGAGAGAGAAACTCCAACTCACCAGATATAAAATTTATACCCTAAGGCCATAACTCCAGAACCTACCTCATCCAACCACACTGTACCTGTCTTCAGTTACCACTCAGTTAATCCCTTTCAGGGGATTAATTCACTGATAGGATTAGGCTCTTATAAACCAATCACTTCTCCTCTAAAACCTTTTGCATTGCCTCACACATGAGCTTTGGGGGGACACCTCATATCCAATCCATAACAGGAAACAATGTTTGCAGAGTCATTATCCCTGCACCTGGCATATAATAAATGCTCAGGAAATGCTAGTTATCATTATATCATCATTTATTGTCACTGTGAGACATAATTAAACCAAAGATGATCACTATTCATATTAGTATTTTTTTCATTAGTCCTCCACTGGCCACACATCCCAGTCTAATCTACCAGTTTTTGAATTTGCCCTGCTGGAACCTGGAGGTGGGAATAGAAAGTAATATTATCGGATAGCATAATCTGGAGCCCAGCAGCAAGGCCCAGGGAGTATGTTTGTGCAGCTGAATACCAAGTTTATATTGTTTAAGAAGAATAGGTAGGGCATGTTGTGTGTGTGTGTGTGTGTGTGTGTGTAGGAGGTGACAAAGGAAAGGGCAACAATGAGTCACATGTTTGAGTTCCTATGAAGGGTCAATTAATCACATATAATCTCGTAACCCTATAAAGCCTAGACTAAGCTCTGTCTTCCAAAAATAAAACTCATTTGCTTACAGCCATGTTTCTGATAATAGGCAGAGGCAGGATTCCATGCCTCTGCCTATTATCATTCCATTCCACTCGGCCCCATACTCCATGTGCTTTGCCCCTCCCCATGATGACAGATGGGGAGCGGAGGTGCAAATAATATGTAAAACCTTTAAATGATTAATTGTTTCTACTAAAGTACAAATTCCTTAAATGGTTTACAAATTTGAATTCAGATGCCCTGTACCAAGAGCTATATTCCAGGAGGTATATTGGCACTTCACATATAAAATCTCATCTCATTCTTTTTTTTTTTTCAGTGTATATTGCTCTCTCCCTTCAATCCCCACATCTCTCTCTTTTTTAAATTGATTTTATTCTTTTAAATACACAACAGTGGAATGCATTACAATTCTTATTACGTATAATAGAGCACAATTTTTCATATCTTTGTATATAAAGTAATTTCATCTAGTTCCTAAAGTGACCCTCTAAAATTGGTATCTTTATGCCTAGGGAACCAAGATTGAGGCTAGGAAGGGATAAAATATAATCCAAAGCCACAGAGCTGGGAAATGGTATCTCTTGCCTTCTCTTTGTTCTGTCTTTTCTTGTTCCCATCCTGTAATCACTTACCTTTTACTACTACTTAGCCATGGGTAGGCACTTAAGAGAGTGTATTAAGAGGCATTTCTCTTCTCACTGCAACAAAGACGTATCAAGTCAAGGAGAGTGAACAAAAGGCGGGTAGGTCAGCATTATTTAAGTCGACATGGATCTAGACCCAGATTCCAAGAAACACATGTTCTGGGTTAGAGCACAGACTTTGAACCAGATCTTCAGGATTGGCTTGACCATTGATAAATCACTGAGTTGGAACTGGCCTTGGTTGTCTCCATCTGATATACCAGCCTAGACCCAAAGCTGTCCTCCATAAAATAGTGGTCCTCAGCATCGTCCTCGCTATTCCCTACCATTGTACACATGTTCAGGGAGGTAGAAGGTTCCTTTTGGAGATCTTGGCTCACAAAGTCCCTGAGGTCTGGGGCACAAGAATAATTGAAATTTACAACTAGAAAGATCCTTAATTTAATAAAATTATCGATATAGATGTAGGGAATGAAGGGAGAAAAAATTTGCTCAAAGGGAAGCATAAATTAGTAGCAGGATTCGGCCTGACATAAAATTGACTCTCTTCCATTTTTCTTACCAAGGAAGTGCATTGAGAAGTAATTCAATAGATCAAAGCTATCTCTTTTGTGTTTGTAACAGCTTATATTGAGATATATATATATCTCCCATACAATGGAAAGTATATTTAAAAAAATTTCTTTTTAGTTGTAGATGGACATCATACCTTTCTTTTGTTTAGTCATTTTTATGTGGTGCTGAGAATTGAACCCAGTGCCTCACATGTGCAAGCACTCCACTACAGAGCTACAACCCCAGCCCATGGAAGGCATATTTTTGAGTCTTCTCTTCCAGTGGTAACTTTACACCAAGAAAAAGGTCAGGTGAATCCAGAAGCAAACATGATTGTCAATTAGTTCATAGTTGAGAAGATTCTCAACTACTCCTCACACTTTTCAATCATAACTCGTTTTCTGTTGCAGCTAGACTTTGTGATTCAGAGAGGCAGCTGGTGGGAGGAGCAGGTGACAAAACTGGCTGGCGCTAGTTATTACCCAAAGTGTATATGAGTGTGTGTGCATGTATATATGAACATATGAGCTAAGCTGACTGATCTACTCTGGCATTATTCAGAAAACAATTTTAGTGCCCACTGTTTCACGTCCTGTGTTAGATGCTGTGGATGAAGTAGTAATTTAAATGCTTTTCTGCTTTCATAGAGCTCATTCAAGCCTTGGAGAGTATTAGATAGGTAATGGGAAAGTCACAATATAACAAAAAAAAATGTAAATGGAGCAGAGTCTTAGGAGGATAAGAAACAACAATGAGACAAATCTAGGAAGATAGACAGAAACCAAATCTCTCGGGGATTTATAGACCATTTAAGGAATTTGTACTTTAGTAGACGCAATTAAAGGTCATTTAAAGGTTTTATGTATTACTGCTAGCATTTGCATTTTTAAATTTAACTTTTTCTTTTTCTTTTTTTTTTTTTTAAAAGAGAGAGTGAGAGAGGGGGACAGAGAGAGAGAGAGAGAGAATTTTTAATATTTTTTCTTAGTTCTCGGCGGACACAACATCTTTGTTGGTATGTGGTGCTGAGGATCGAACCCGGGCCGCACGCATGCTAGGCGAGCGCGCTACTGCTTGAGCCACATCCCCAGCCCTAAATTTAACTTTTTCTAGTGTTCGGTAGACTGGGGATCAGAGAAAATATATGTGGGATGCTATGTCAGAGTCAAGATCAGTGAGGAAGCCATAGCAATGTTTCAAGGAGAAAAATAACAGTGGCTTATAATTTAGTAGCTATGAGGATGAACAAACATAATTTGATGTGAAAAATATTAAGTTGCTAATATGATGCTTCATTATTCAGCTTTGCATCACTAAAACAAAATACATGACACAGGCTACATATGAAGAAGAGGTTTATTTAGCTCCCAGTTTAGGAGGTTCAAAGTCCAAAATCAGGCAGACCTCATAGATTTAGTCTTTGGTGAGGGCAGTGTACAGCAATTGTGGAAGTTCACATTGGGACAAGCAGCTACACCTTGAACCAGGAGCCAGAGAGAGTTGAGTGAGGCCAAACTTGGGCTTTTATAGCAATCCTCTTGAGAAACCTACCAGGTGGCCCAGAAGAACTGCTTTCAGAAAGCAGTGACACCCCGCCCTCCACGGTGACCTAAGGATGTTCCACTTGGCCCCACCTCCCGAAGGTTTCACCACCTCCCCACAGCACCTTCTGAAGACCACACCTTCAATCATAATGGACCCTTCAGAAATGATTATAGCAGATGAGAACTTTGTGACTGAATGATGGAAGGGGAAGTGAAAGATGACAGTAATGATTAGAGATGGTCCCAAGCTTTCTGCCTTAAGTAAGAGGATGCTGGTGTTCCTTAGATGGAGCAAAGGAGGAGCATAGGGATGGAGGAGCTGAGTTGAGCTTTACATATGTTAAATCTGTTCCCTAAGGATATACAACTGCTCATACAAAATGGGTACCTAGATCTATACTCCTGGGGAAAAAAAAGGTCTGACCTGAAAAATACTGGTTTGGGACCCAGATGCATAGGGAGTTGAAATCACAGAAGACAGTATCTTCCAGAATAGAAATTAAGTTCCTCTTTTGCATTTTATTTCCTTGGGGAGATGTTTTCTCTCATCATACCAGTATCATTTCTGACATTTTATTTAGATGCTTTATTGCATTCAGAAAGACTACACCTTCTGCTCAGTTTTGGCTAGCTTTTACTTGCGTAAAATGTTATGGGCATTGAAAAATAGTTCTAGTACATATTTAATGGCAGGAATGAATAATTCTGTATCATAATAATTCTGTATCAATGTATCTGTCACCAGAGTAGAAGAGAAAATTGTATGATTTCAGGGGTTTTACTCAATTACTTGCATGTTTTATTTAGTTAACAGTTAGCCTTCTAGGAAAGGTCCAGGGCATATGTGCCCCACTCTGATGTGACCTTCTTCCAGTGTACCGATTGGTGCAAGTTTATTCTCCCTAGACCCTGGATCAGGTGAGGTGATATGCACAGAAAATCCCTCTCCATCTTTAAACCGTGATACTCCCCATTTACCTTTATTTCTGACACTTTTAAATAATCATTAAATGTTCCAAATTTCATATCCTGAGGCCTGAGAGATTTATTGATTTATTATTTTTAAGTTTAAATATGAAATGCCATTTCACAAAACGTGGCTTTATTCATGATTGCTCCCTTTGCTGTTAACTCAGTAGATAACTTGTACCATTTTCACTTATCATATTATGAAGTTATTTTCAACATTTAACTCTAAATATCTGTTGTCTCTCTTAAGTAGTAGGATCGGCCCCCCAACCAATATTTGGTTCAGATATTGAGACTAATAATACTATACATACATCAAGAGGATATTAAAAATATATCACACCCCTGATGAATTTTGGGGGGAACAATAGAGGGAGCTCCCAAGCAGGTCCACAGTGGCTTCAGAGAACAGGGAAAGGAGACTGGGTTGGTTTCTATATAGTGTGTGTGTGTGGGGGGGTGGGGTTTGGGTTAGGTTAGAGTATGTTCCAGAGTGCTCTCTGGGCCTTGCCTGATTTGAAGTTTCCTCAGGCACCAAAGGTGGCAGCTCCTAGTCTTTCTTATCAGCTTCCTCAGATTCGAGACTGAAGGGGAAGGAGGAATAGTGAGGTCTGAAGGCTTTTATCAATCTAATATCAAAGATGGATCTTTATTACAATTCACTACCGATGTTTGATTGATGACTGAAATGTGCCCCATATTTCATTGATTTCAACTTGAACTTGTTTAAGTAAGCCATTCAACCTTTCTATGAGGCCCAGAAGCCTGAGACTGGTAAGGGAGGTGAAAAATCCATCAAGTGCCTTAAAAAAGCCCACCACACCACTATATATGTGGAGAAGTGAAATGCGTGCCTTGGTCACTATCACAAATGTTTGAAACATTGAAGGGGACAAGTAACGTCTTAGTGTGGATTTAGTATGTACAGAGCTGACCTTGATTTATATTTTAGGTATCATTGAGGAAAACAACCCATAGACTTCTTGTCCCCAAAGAGACAATCTTGGATTGGGAACTATTTTTGCTGTCATTGGCAGGAAGAGCTGAGCAGATCATTGGCAATGGTCCAAGAGTCAATAGAATTATGCAGATGGGGCTGATTGTTAGCCAGGGCATCCTGTGCTAAAAGGACCACATGAAGTTTGGCTAGTTTTGCTCACTCTTGAGTCCTGGCTCCTTACCAGGGATGTTCCAATAAGGGCTAAACATTAGCAGCTTTCTAGCAAACTCCATCACATATGATGACAGTGATGCCAACTCTAAAGTGTTTGAACTCCATTTGCAGTTAACTTGTTTGACCCCAAGAAACTCCCCTGATATCCAATTGGTCTTGGAAACGGGCAACTTTCACCAGTACCATGCCATTTAGCAAAGTACTAGGAATCGTGGGGGACCCTCTACTACAGATGGATATGTTGAGCTTGGCTCTATGGTGCAGTAAAGAGGTCTCAGTGGCTACATTAAAATTTCTGGGTGTGGTTTCCATGATCCAATGAAAAATGGGCATCTGGATATGGAGGAGCCCTGAGTGTGACAACCAACCTGTTTCCAGGAAAGCCCAGTAAGCAGCCAGCAACTGCAGGTTTTTTTTTTTTTAATTAGTTAATTATTTATAGTTGTAGTTGGACACAATACCTTTATTTTATCTATTTATTTTTATGTGGTGCTGAGGATCGAAACCAGGGCCTCACATGTGTTAGGCGAGCGCTCTACCACTGAGCCCCAGCCCCAGCCCAGCAACTGCAGTTTAATATCCTACAGCTTGTGGCTGAGGAACAGTTTCTCGCACCAGATGTCCATGGACAACTTATAGCCATCAAGTATGGTCCTGAGACTTCAAGATGTATGACAGGAGATTGCAAAAGCCTTTAGTATGAATGAGCCTTTTGTTGCACAGGAGCTCAACCAAGGTAAGCCAATTTGTAATAGTATGTATGGGTTTTAGTGAATTTTATAAATGAGGAATATGTTGTCTCTAGAACCCAAAAGGCCTACAAGATATTGGACTTATTTTAATACTGTGGATGTGGTTTCTTGACAGTGTCAGGGGTAAAATTGCACTCAGCTAAATAACCTATTAGGTTGGACCTCAGCATTAAGATTGCAACAACCCACCAGGGTGCCGTTCTTTATTTCTAGGTTTAAGAATAAGCTAAATTGAACCATTAAATTTCAAAGCAGTGTAGATAATAATTCTTCTCTAAGTAGGTCTAGTATATGGGATTCAAGCCTTAAGATCTTGTTTTAATTTAAACCAGCACATATTAACTATTTTAACTAGTAGAAGAAGAGAAGGTACATTTTGGGAAGACAATTGTTAAGTGACAAAGATTTAATTAAACTTTTAATTTATTACTCCTTGGGTCAAAACATCCATTTCCTTTGTGGAATATTTAGTGTAATGGGGGCTGTGGAGAATTTAGTCAGGTAATAGTACTGATGATTAAGATTAGGCATATATATGTCTTCCTTACATGTCCTGAACTGTCCTCGGTAACTCCTCCAAGACGATAGGACTACTTAGTTCAAATTCCCAGGTGTAATTGGAATTTGAGCCCCAGTATTAAGGCCACAAAGGTTTGACCTTTCTGAGTATCGGCAGATGTTAAATGTTAATTCAGAACCCAGGTAGTAGAGGTGCAAAAACCAATTAGCAAACTTTTACCTTTGCTGTTGCCATGTAAAGTTTTAAAGTAACTTTCAGATTTCCAATTGAGTCCAATTTTGGACCTGGTTCAGTTTTTAAATTTTGTTTTGCTTCCTCTCTCTGTATATCAGAGTTTTTTTTTTTTTTTAATTACTATATGTGGTTTAGTATGTGTGTCCATCCTCGATGGTCTGTTCGTACATGTTGCTTCCTCCAGTCACAGATCTCATCATCAGGAACAATGTCTCCTCCCATGGCAACAGTTGCTTTATGTGGTTGAAAGACTCTAGGCTTACTTCCGGTTTGAACCAACACCTTGGCTCTACTCTTTTCCTGTAACCCTGAGGATCAGGATCTTTATTTGACCACAGTGGCTTAAAGAATAGCAGCTACAAGGGCATTTTTAAAAGTCCTGGTGAGCCATCTGCTTTTAAGTGTATGGGCCAGAACATTCCACATAACCTTCTTCCACATGAGTCACCAGGGCATTGGGAGTCCCCATCAGTGTCCTATAGAATGGGTAATGCCTGATTGAGACAAATAACCAAAACCCATAGGCTCAGGGTCATTCCTGTGAGCCTGGTGTCAGTCAGAGCTTCTGCTGGAATTCAGTCACAAGTTCAATTTGATACACTTAGGTCTCAACCAAGACACATGACTCAGGGCTTCTTTTCTCCTTTCTTTAAATGCCAATTATCAAAACTTCCAACTTAGCCGAGCATATCTATAATAGTGAATCTGTAGGGTTCAGCATATGCAGCAAACCAGCCCAGCTCACACCACAAGTTTGTCAGCAGAGAAAAAAAACAAGCAAGCAAATACACATGTAAGCCAGGAACAGAACCAGTTAGCAAATCAAAGAAAAACAGAAAGCCCTCTAGTGGTGGTGGTCATCTCCTAGACCCCTGCTTGTGTCCTCCTACAGAGACAGGGTGAAACCCCTGAAAGCATCATACAGATGTGGACACCAATGATGCTACTCTCACATCAAGTAGGTTAAGGTTTATTATTCACGTAATGAGACTTTCTGGTTCAAAATGACTTGGGCAGGTAAAGGAGACCAGCCTGGCTATTTGGTGGTTTGGAAGTAGGGTTAGAGTGAGGGTTCCCATGCAGGGGCTGTGACTTAGATGCTTTGAACTTCCTCCAGCTAGTACCAAAGGTGGAAGTACTTTCATATCCTTGTGTCCAGACAAGAAGCAGAAAAGGAAACTATCAGCAAACATCAAAAAATGAGTCAGACTCATTTTATATAAAGTTATACAAGTTACAGGATTAGTTTAGACTTTTAAGGGAAGCAATTTGATATTACTTCAGGAATTTATCATTGTAGTACTGGGAATTAAATCCAGGGACTGTCTACCACCAAGCTACATCCCCAGCACTTTTTAATTTTTTTATTTTGAGGTAGGGTCTTATTAAATTGCTAAGGCTGGCTTTCAACTTATGATTCTTCTGCCTCAGCCTCCCAAGTAGCTGGAATTACAGGTGTGCATTGCCACACCTAGCTTATTTAGGGATTTTTAAAAGGCAGAAAATTGACTTATGAGACAGTGTAAATCAGTGGCTCCTACTATTTGGATATATTAGAAATTGAGGAGAGGATACATTTCAAACTGCACCTTTGCCCTCTACCTCTAGGACTCCAAGGAGAATCTGAGCCATGCCCTATCATTCTTTGTAAGAATGGAGTCTCACGGGTCACGGTTACTAACAGGAATGGCAACGGCCTAGGGGAGGAAAAAAGAACCACTTGAATTATTACTAATAAGAAAGGCCATGGACATTGGACCTTTGAATGTAACGTTCCTCACTGGCATGGTTTAACTTGGGGCACAAATTTCTCACTCTTTCATCTACGTGTGCACCTTGATTCGTGGTGTTCTCCTTACTTTCAAGGCCCTTGAGCAACCAGATCATCTCAGCTAGAAATAGTCTTTGCTCAAACACCTGTCATGCCACTTTTATCTTACACCACTTATCTTATTCTTCAGTGTATTTGTATTATTTGTTTACATATCTTATCTCTGCAGCCAGACCACAGCTATCTGACTTGTAAGATTTACAGCTGATTCATCTTTCCATCCTTTACTCATATAAGCATTGCTAATAATAAACAGATGGCTTACATGTATTTAATCAGTAAAAAACAGAATCTCAGATATTACTTTTTTCTGTGAATATGCAATGCCATTATAGTTATAAACAAGATTACTGGGTAAATCATCAGAAAATCCTGATTTTACCTGTAGAGGAGAATACATGCTTTTAACTTACACAGATTCTTCATGTTTTCAATAAGGATTTCAGTTGAGTCACAAAATAATTTTCTTTGGGGTTTGTGTTCCTTGTATCTCAAAAATGAGGATGGCTTTCAGATAAATGTTTACTCATTTCAAAAATGCCTTGTAGCCTGCAGAGTGTTTTGTGTCATCTCTTGACAATAGTGCAGTGAAGTGTGAGACAATCCTGTTACCAATGAAGAAACTGAGGTTGAAAGTCTAAGCAACTTAATGGTCACAGAGGTAAAATAAGTCAGGGAGTAGGCTTAATTCAGGACCCCCTGCTTCTAAAATCCAAGTTTCTACTACCATGTTTTATCAATTCTACCTAACAATGAGATGTGTGACTTATTTTTGTCATTATTTTATAATTATTTGAATTAATATTATAACATGGAGGAAAAAAATCTTTTCAGGCTATCCATCTATGTGAATAGTTAAACACACATTTATAAGCTTAAATATTTTTTCTCTTTACATATTTACATAGATATGCATTTGTATATACTCTTAAAAATTCTGATTCCATTTACCTCTCAATTGCTTATCAAATAATTAGACTTTAGGTTTCATGTGTAGTTTTCCTAGCAGGATACATAGCTATGAATGAGCTTTCCCTCTGTCCCTCCAACAATCCAAATCTTCTTCCAATGGGCTTTTTAATTAAGCCAGGCAGTGCTGGACATGCTGTGGCACCCACCAATATAGGTCTGAGATCTCCTCCAGCATTTACTTGAAGAATGTGTATCAGATGGTCATGAAGTATAGAAAGATTTTGTCCTCTAAAATTGAAATCACATTTTCTAAATTAGGTACTTTTACATATACTATCCTAATAATATCTTTCAATTCTCACATCTTCAACCTTTTAAAATGTAAACTGTGCAGGTAGAGTGGTGCACAACTGTAATCCCAGCTACTTGGGAAATTGATGCAGGAGGATCCAAGTTTGAGGCCAGCATCTCCAACTTAGAGACACTATTTCAAAATTAAAAACAAAATTTACACCCCCATATTCTCCCAAACAAAACAGGCTGGGAATGTAACTCAGTGGTAGAGTTACCCTGGGTTCAAGTCCCAATACTGGCAAATAAAATAAATAAATAAAAATTGTCAACTGTCATATCCTTTTCCAGATGAGAAAACTAGCTCAGCAAGGTTAACAATTCCTAATAAGTAAACAAAGTCACAACACTTAGAGAGGTAGTGGACCAAGGTGGAGTTGATTCCAAAGTATAGGTTTTTTTCCTACTTATGTATACACAGTAATGTTATAACAAATATGCACAAAGCTGGGTGAAAACTTAACTACAATTCATATTGGTGAACTATTAAAATCATAGAACTAGAAGAGATTTTAGTAATATGGTTCAATATTCTTATTTTATAGATAGGAAACCACTTCTCAAGAGACATGGTAATGGCTAAAGTTCCCACAGCTAGCTAGTTAGAGAGGCACAGCTGCGATTCAGACAGAAGCCTAACTCCCAAGTTTCAGTGGTCCTCCACTAGAATGCATTGCTAGTCTCGGAGCTGCCTCACTGACTTCACACATAAGACAGGGACCCATGAATATTAATAATATTGACAAGATAAAGCCATAGGTCTGGAGTCAAAATGTGTATTTTGCTAAGCAGCTTTCTACTTCATACTGCCCTGCTTGTAAAATTCATCCAAGCATCTGCTGTTTCATATCTGTAATTTGTTCTAAGATCCCTTGAGGGGCTGCACATCCTGAGAGTAAATCAGCATCCTAGTCACATGTAGGATAGAGATCTAAGTCTCACATCAGGTTCTGCCTTCTCTTTCCCTCTTATAGAGCCGGGTAGCACTCCACTTTCAAGAGGCCATTAATTAATACTAGATAAGAAATACAGCTACTTAAGCATTACTTGCTTTAATCACAGAAATATGTAAAACTCAAGCCAAGTTTATTTGATTGGAACAATGAAAGTGTCCCTCTGTAGACTATCTCAGACTGCACCTCGATTGACCCTTGCAATCATTCAGACCCAGTCTCTGCACCTGGCTTTTGAAGAAGTTCAGAGCGACAGAACACTAGAGTTCAAATACTTTAGACAAGAAAGATAGTAGAATAATCTATGAAAAAGTAAATATATTAACATCATTTTTCAACATTTTAGGAAAGAAAAACAATGAGAAATGAGGGTGCATGGGCTAGGCACTGAATAAAAACTGAACAAATCAATGTTCTAGTATTTTAAATTCTGTGAAATCATTCAAAATGACACAGGAAAGAAGGGGGTCAACCAACGTAAATCAATTGTTTGCCACTATTTTATATTCCTTTAAAAGGGCTTTTCTGAGACTCCCTCATTATTCAATGTAAGGGGGCTGCACTAGGAAGCCTCAGTATACATGGGCCAACAAGTCAGGCGGATAAATGAATGAATTAAACAACTGAGGAACACCATACACAAGCCACCATAATATGTGCTGGTAGCAAGACATTAATTAGATACTATCATTAATTAGATATATAGACAAATAATAGAAACACAGTGATTCATACAGTACTAGAAAGATAAAACAACTAGTAGAAAGAAACAGGTGAACAGATTTACTTGGAGACTTGTGGGTAGGGGGAGGGGATACTGGAAAAAGGTTTTTGTTACCAAGTAGAAACTGAAAAGCAAAAAGGTAGGCATGAAGGAAATAACTGACTGGAGTGGCTGGACCACCCCATGCCACCAGGCATTATTTAGAGCAATTCAGTTGAAGAAATTAATAACCACCACCATTTGTTGAACTGAACCATGCATTTGCACATCTGTTATCTCACACCTTTCCTGGAGGAGGCAGGGGTCATTTTTTCATTTTCTAGAAGAGGAAGTTAAGTGACTTGCTCAAGGCCACATGGCCAATAAGATGGAACTTCTGAAGATTAGCATTGCTGTAGTTCAGTGGTGTTCAGAAAGTATTCTGTAGGTTCCCATGAGTTTCGCCACAGTAGCACAGGTGTGATCAGGGGAGAGGAGAAAGTAGCCAATTCTCCATTTCCACAAACCTGCATCAACCAGAGCAGCTGCTCTTTGATCTATTTTATGGGACACAAAAGACTTTATTTGGTACTGCTGCATTAAATAAAACCCACAACCACCTAATTGAGAAAACAGTTTCTGAGGCATACTCTGCAATTTAGTCAACATGGCAGATAATTAACTGTACTTCACACAGCCTAAAATATTCACATCAAAGAAGAAACAAAAACATTCAGACTGCACTTTGAATCAGCACATACCCTCTTTACTTGAGGGTCAAGGAATCATTGTGACTGAGAGATGGCAACTGAAGTAGATGATGAATGCCATCAAGTGACAGAACTTCCTTCCAAAAGTACAGGCAGCTGGAGTATTGCTGGTCTTGTTTACTTCAGGCCAGCCCACAATATTATATGCATCTTTCTACTACAAACCATGTGGCAAAAGCCTCACCAGTGTTACTGCCTCAGCAAGTCCCCCACTGATGGCAAAGACAGAGATCCTGCTGCTGGGTGCCACCACAGATAAAACGGCTCTAATAACTAATAGTTGCTTGTGATGCACTTTTAATTGAATCAATTTCCTCTTAATTACACAATCTTTGAAAACTGGATGCAATTTCATCATGGGGCTTTTTCCAGGTGAAAAGTGAAAGACAAACTAGTTCAACAAAATTTTACCTCTTTCCCTATCTTTTGTGGAATCTCATCACAAATTCTCTCACCTTTGGTCATCTTAAAGGCATAAGACTTTCTTCATTTTTGAACTGAAATTGAAGAAACAAGGTGGAGGCTCAGTTTTGAATAGGGTGTTTGTCACTGATACCTTGGCAGTGGGTTCCCATGTACATGGGAGTGAGATTTGGATTCTCTTTACATAATGATGCTTTTGGCTGAATTTTGACCGGGGTAGATTCCTGTGATCTCAAAGAACTGTCAAATCAGCATAGCACAAATTATCCCTTTCCTTGTACCCAAATGCCATAATTAATTAAAAGACATGAACAACAGTGATGAAGAAAGTTATCAATTATTTAATGCCTGATACAAGAATGGAAATAAATTCTGAAGCCAAACAATATACACTCACTGGAGAAAAATACAGAGTAACTATCCAACAGTTTTGATGTTTGTTTTAGTAATGAAAATGGATGTGTCCACCTCCCTGCTTTATTGGCCCTGGCCTGTGTTGTACAGTTTCTCATACGACTCAGCACAGTTCAGTGGAAAGAGGAAAAAAAAACCCAAAAAACAGAAAGCCCCAAAGGCTATTAAGTTTGCAGACTACACAAGCATTTCTCTTTGCTTATTCCTATCTTCCTATGCTGTGGTGTAATTCCAATCCTTTAAAAGGCAAGCAATTTTCAGGCTGAAGTCTTCAACACCAACCAACTAGAGTCAGTCCATTCTCTGGCACATCTGCAATGGAGACCAACCTAAGATGACACAAATTCCTTAGCCAAGAGTACTGCTTCCCCTAAGAGACTGTGTTCTCTCTCTCTTGGTGGCACTTAATGAATGTGCTTTCGCACTGGTGAAGGTGATCAAACCTGGAACATCATGCTACAGGGATGCGATGTCTGAAATGTCACTGAAATGTGAAGCAGATCCAATTGGAGCATGCACCCAGAATGCAACCAGAGTTGAAGAGAAAGTATCATAGATGAAGCACATTATAATAGGAAGGAAACAATGAACCACGGAATGACATCAAAGCCCAAAGAAATCAACAAGGATTTAAGCAGGGGGGCAAATTTCAAACACAGGGGCAAAAGCCTAAAAGTGGCTCTGTACTGAAGCCTTAGAAGTGCCTAGTTTCTAATCAAACATCAGCTAACACCATCATGTGTTCTATTTGGGGAAATGCATCTGTTAAAGCTCTAAATTTAGGTAGGGGATAGGATATGGTGTGGAGAGGGGAATAACAAACACTAAAAAACAGAACTTCTAAAATGCTAGAACAACCCAGCTGGAATCAGTACATAGGCCAAGTCTACTCTATAATACTGCCAACAACCAAGGAAGGACTAAGGGAAGGAAAATTGGCTGGGAGCAGAAGACTGGTATTTCTCATCCTCTAAGGGGTAGAATATCTTCTTAGATGGTAGCTGTAGATCTTGATGCAATGATCCCAACAGTCCAAGACCAATAGCTGTCCCTTAGGAGTGAGGGCAATGCCCACTGGACAGGTGAGCCCTTCTCGAATAAGGACACTATAGCCCCCACCCTTAGGAAAATGGAGAATTTCCTTGCGACTACTATCAGCCACGATGAGGTCACCACGGGCATCCACACACATGCCAGCAATGCAGCGGAAATCCTCATTCTCTGAGAAGAAATGGCTAATCTGGCGACCCAGCTGCCCATCAGGACCCACTGAACCGATGGAGAAACCACCCTCTAAGTGGTGCTCATTCTGCCTATTTTCCAGATTGAGGCCCAAGCCCTGGGTGAAGTAGACGGTGCCTTCAGCATCACAGGTGACAAACTTGGGTCGCACAGCACTGCAGAGACAGCTGTATTTGACCACTCCTGCTCCTCGGTCAACAGTAAAACACCAGAGTTTTCCACCTTCCACATCAGTTACCACGAACTGGCCAGATGGCAAGGCTGTGATGCCCCATGGTTTACTCAGCTGGCTCCTGTGACAGGCCACGCAGTGGCCATCCAAGGTATATACCTTGAGGGAGTTGTCATAGCTGTCAGTCACACCAATGAGACCATGGCAGTTCATGGCCACAGAGAGAGGAGTAAGATTGGGCAAATCAGCCCCAAGGAAGCTTAGCACGAAGCTATCAATGCCACTGGGGCTGCGGCGTATCTCTTTCAAAAAACCTTTGCGAGTAAAGACTTGTATACGGTAGTTGCCACGGTCAGCAACCAGCACCTCACCTTGACTGGTCACGTAGAGACTGACAGGAAGATTGAACATGCCTGGAGTGCTGCCTTTGGCTCCCATCTTCTTGAGAAAGAGGCACTGCTGGATACTGGCGGCTGCCTCAGAACTCCGCTGTTTAGCAGGCGAGGCTCTGGGGCTGGCAACCACTTCCTCGGGGCTCATGTCCATCTCTCTAAATGTAACAGAGGGAGAGGCAGCAGAGGCTGCAGCCTCCATGGCCCAGGAATCTTCCATGTTAACTGTCCGGGGCTTCTTAACAGCTTGCCCAATTTGGAGGGGGCCAACATGACCTACCTTAAGGAGCTCCACATCTTGCAGAGTGAGCTCCCGGGGCAAGCTGGCAGTGAGCTCTGGCTCCTCCTCATCAGCTGTCTCCTCCAGTAGGGCTACGTCAGCCTGCTTGATCTTGGCCAGAAAATAGTCACAGCGAGACACAGCCTGCACCTCTGCAATGTTAAGCAGGTAACTCTGCTCCTCTACCACTTGACTATTACACTTCTCAACTTCAGCCAAAGAGCCTGTGAAGAACTTCCGAGAGCGAGCCAACTCCTCCTGGACCCTGCGTTCCTCATGCCCATACTCCTGGAGGACTGCTTTATACCTTGCCTGAAGGTCTTTGGAGACACCTTCCAAAGCTACCTTCCGCCGCTGCAGCTCCCCCATAAGCTCCCGCAGACGTGTCAACTTTTCTCCAAAGTCCCGCCGCCGTTCCTCAGCTGCCTCTTTGACAGGGAGTGTACAGTGGCTGGGAGGCTGGTGGTCTGCCTCCCGGCAGGGCTCACACAACACCAAACTGCAGCTCCTACAGAATTGCCTGGGCAGCCGCCGCCCACAGGACCGGCACATGAGCAGCCCCACAGCCTCGCTGAGCCCAGCTGTGTCAATGATCTTCAGCACTGTCAGGTTGTCTGTGAGCTGAGTCAGGCTGGTTATGCGGGTAATCTTGCTGCAAAAGGGACAGCGAACCCCATTGATGCTACTAGCTAGTAACTTTTCCAAGCACTGGCGGCAGATGGTATGGCCACAGTGCAAGAGCTTGGGCCGTAGCTGCTCTTCTGTGAAGGACTCCATACAGATAGGGCATTCTAGCACTTCACGGAGGGCATCCAGGTTCAGGTGAGAAGCTGCTGCTGAAGCCATTGCTCTTCTTTGAAGGATCCTGCTAGCACAGCCCAGAACTGAACAGCTTAGCATTCATGCCGCAGAGAGTCGGACTCCTGCTACAGAGAAAAAGAAACCATTATTCATTTTCCATTGCATATATAAATTAATCCAGTTAAGAAACATTGAGGACAGCGACAGTCAGTCAGTTATTCACTTATTTAAGAAATATTTTATTGAGGTCTATCATGTGTCAGGTGTTGACTACACATAGGGAAACAAAGCAGCCAAAGCTTCACACAGTGGGCAGGAATCCAACAAGTAACCTAACTCCCCAAGCAGTTTCAACACTTGCCTGCAAAATATGTCACAATGCTGTCTCCCTTGCAGTTATTGTAAGGGTTGTAAATAACCGGCGAAACGTTGGAGGAAGAGACCACCAAGAGACTGCCTCATGCAACAGCAAAGGGTTTATTTGGGGACCAGCATGCTGAGGCTCACAGCTCACTTGAATAGACCAAAGAGAGAGAGAGAGCCCTGAGAACAGCTTAAGCAGAGCTTATATACTTTGCTTGGAGAGGGCAGGGGGGAAGTTCATTGACGGGTCAGGGCGAGTGGGCAGTGAGGGAGTGCATCCTGCAGTTTGGCAGTTGGGACAGCACATTCTGGGAACAAGATTAGCAAACAGTTCTTAAGATTTCAACAGTGTTTTGTTAAGCATATAGAAAAACGGAGTGACAAGTACTTATTTTATTAACCTTTCAGGGTTAAATAACATGATGAACAAGATGCCCTTGGCACAGAAACTGGCATGTAGTACACTAGTAATAAATGCTAGTGATTAACTTCTTAAAAAGTGAAGTTTACAACTTATAATCTATACTAAGAGAAAAGCACAGAAAAATATGTACAGAAAAAGGAATATATGACAGGAGGGTCCATGAAATAGTCTATGTGCACAGAGTGATGGATTTACCTAAAGGAATTGGGGAAGGCTGCCCAGCAGTACCATTCCTAAGAAATGTCATGAAAGCAATGAGTCAATGAGAGACCAAGATATTTTAGGCAAAGAACACGGCTTGAGCAAAAAACTGTGGAAGTCTTATTATGTCATAGAATGTATTGTGTCATGTTTGGGGACCTAGGAATCATCCAGAGAAATAGAATACTCTCATCATTAGTTTTAGGTAATCTTCAAAACATCAGACCAGAAAATACACGTCTTCCATTCATCTCTTCTCCAACTTCTTACCTACATACCCTCTCAGACTAGGTATCATGTACTATACTCAACACTAGGGTTTTCAGGGTATGTATAACTAAGTTTGACAGTGATTAAGATGGATTCATTCTAAAAATGAAGGGAAACAGAATTTTCTGACTGGAAATGGAACTTGATATGGGCACAAAAGAATGCAGAGAAATGTGAAGATGGAAAGGGGCACCAGGCAAAGTTATAAAGTGGGGGAGGATACAAGAAGTTTTGTGTATTGGAAAGAAAACAGAACACTAGCCCCTCCATGCTTTATTTTCCTTACCTGTAAAATAGAAATAGTACTGCAAGGTTAATGTAAGGAATAAAAAATAATATATGTAGGACATTGAACAGTAAGATGTGGCTTTGCATCAGAAAAATCTTAAAGTTTTCTTTTTTCTCAACCTTAGGTTAAAATTATGGGAGCATATGGGAGAAACAGAGTAAAGAGTTTGGAAAATAATTACAAAAGGTCTTTAGAATCCATATGTGCTTTTTGAAATTTCTTTTGAAGGGCAGATTGAAGCAACAAAAGCTGGAATGAAGTGAGAGAAATAAAAAATCAGAGAAACTAGTTTGGAAACTATAGCTAAATAGCCTGGGTGAGGTATTAGGGAGTCTGGTCTAAGGAGCAGGTAGAAATGGAGAGAATATATATCTGAGCCCTATTCAGAAGTGTAATTAGTAAAATCTGAAAATCAGTGGGTTATGGTAGAAGAGGCAGGGGCAGGGGGTCTGGGAGGAGAGCAATGAGCTAAGATGGCTAAATAGTCAAGCCCAGATGATTTTTAAAAATAGTAGCTCCTTATCAAGACAGATAATTTCTAGTTTGGAATACCCACTGCTTTACTCAATACATATTATGAACACTCCCATCTTCCTTGATACTATATAAGCTCATGAAGCAGACTTCAAGAAATCTCAGTGCTCTGCAGCCTTATATCACTGCCAGCTTATACCCCAAATTAGAATGAATATATCTAGCAAGGTAAGGCACATGGATAAATACAGCCTTTCTTAAATGCAAATCCTACAGCTGCACCTGTGCAGTCTTGTGACATGCAGATGGTCAAC